TAAGACCCCAGATGCTATATCTTTTGATAGCCGGGCACCATCAGCTTTCTTCACCACATTTGCTTATGCACCCATTTGTCTTCAGTGATCGTATCATGGAGGTGAGCACACAGTGATATGATTTTTTGTTCTTTGATGCCTGATAACTGATCCCTTCGGCACCTCGTGATCATACAGGCTGGTGTGCTTCTTCCATGTGGAGACCCAATGTCCTTCTGCTACCTTAATACTAAACCTTAAATATATGCACATAGATTTATTTCCCCATCCTCATATATAAATATATTTGCATATGTACATGTCTTTATCTAGACCTCTATAAATGCCCTTTGCCTCCCAGCTCTTTCCTTGACTTCCCTTGACTTTCCTCCTGTCCCATTATCATGCTCAGTCTCCACCAGGGTTTCAGCAGTTCCTCTTTGTTACATTACCCTTGATCATGCCCTACCTGGCCTCCTACACCCTCCTCACCACTGATTTGGATCACTTGCTGTTCCCTTGTCCATGGGTTTGTTAAAACCACTTCCTTTCCCCCTACCTCACCCTCTTCCCATGTCCCCCCGGAACTGTCGGTCCCGTTGTTTTCTCCTCCAGATTGTTCATCCAGCCTATCTTTAGACAGACCTGGCTAACTTGTTAAAATGTGCTCTTCACTTGTTAGAAAAACATTCAGCTTATACTAGAATCCTTGTTAGGTCTGTGAACTCAATTTCTGCTCATAGCAACCCTGCAGAGTAGAACTGCCCAATAGAGTTTGGAGGCATAATGTTTAAACAAGCACTCCACTGCCAATTGAAAGGTAGTTCGGATCCTCCAGTTGTTCCACATTAAAAAGCTATCTATTCTGGTAAAAGTGATAGTCTAAAAATATCCTTTGGGGCTGTCATAACTGTCCTATGATCTCTAGGAATCACAGTGGATTCCAGGGAATACAATAGAAATCTTTAAGGAAGTGGAGGCTTATTCTAGAATTACTGAAATAATTCTCACATTATAAACTACTGAACTTTGAAAAGCACAAATTAATTGTTAATGGTTCTCAACAAAAAGGGGAGGGATCACTTACTTTTGGTTTCTGTTCAGGCAGGGTAAACAGTTAAGAATGGTGGTTTGAACTCACCGGAGGCACTGATCTGGTGATCTGCTTCCAAAAGGTCATTCATGCCATTGAGATTCACTCCACTGCAACCAGCACCATATTCTTATTAGTGAGGAAAGAAAGGTATGATGAAATGCCCACAGTGTTGAAATCTGAAACCTGGTTTATTTTGTTACATAACCATTAGTACTTATAATCTGTTACGTACTTGTACCCTGTTTTCCCGAAAGTAAGACATCCGCTCAAAATAAGACCTACTTACAATTTTTTGTCTCCCTGAAATATAATGCATCCCCCCGAAAATAAGACCTCCCTGAAAATAAGGCCCCCTGAACTACTGTAACTCTGGACCGTAGAGGCGGGTACCACCATGCAGCTCATTGTTGGCCGCAGCGCAGCCGGAGCAGACAGGAAGTGCAAGGTCTCTTTTAATAAAACAATAAACAATATGTACTGTATTCTGTAGTATTAAATTAAAATGGCGATGAGGGGGAAGGGCCAGCCCCCACCCGCTGCTGCTAATCACGGGTTCAGTAATATTACTTCTGGGTTCAGTAATGCACAATTGTGCGGTTGAGATATGTAAGCATTATATTAAAGTCATCAAGAGCATGAGAGATAATACAATAATACAGTCAGACATATTACATGGTAGCATCGCTCACCTCCGCCCCGCTTGGTGGTTCTCGTGGGGGAGAACCTGGCTGCCAGAGCAGGAGCAGCTGCCGCCCTCGTCCACCTCCCTCATGGGAGCAGCCCTCTCGTCCACCGCCCTCACGGGAGCAGTTCCTCTCTTCTACCGCCACCTCAAGAACCAGGGAGCCTCCTTATTTATTGCTAACCACGCATCATATTACTTTGGGGGGATACATCACAGCATCATGCGTCATATTGAGGGGCAGTACAATTCACAACAACCTGCGTCATAGGGAGGGGTTGCAACATAGGCAATTCAAGCAATAGGAGGGCGATGACCGAGTCATCTTAGAGTGGTCCCGGGCTTGCCTTTGGGCACTGCTTCAAGGGGACAATAACAGAAAGGACTGGGCCCTACATAGGCCACTCTAGATGGCTGATGTTAAGGAGAATAACCTCTGACCTACTTTCGCTGACCACCTAGAGTACAGTCATTCTCAAGCAGCTAAGTCTGGTACATATTGGGGAGACAGCTTAAGAGAAATCCTTCTGTTCCCCACAGTATTATTATTCATGGAAAAATAAGACATCCCCTGAAAATAAGACCTAGCGCATCTTTGGGAGCAAAAATTAATATAAGACACTCTTATTTTCGGGGAAACGGTAACCATTCTGTTACGTACTAGTAACCATTAGTACTTAGATGACCAATCAATTTAAAACCAAGTTGAGTGAAGGGGAGAGAAAAAAGAAAGAACCAGAATGTGCATGGGTCAACAGGGTTCTCATGTTTTAGACTCAATTTTTTTTTTACCCAAATTCTGTTAACAGCCTTTTTCTATCTGTTTACCTTAAGTGTTATTTAGTATAATCCTTAAGGGCAGGCAAATTGATAATGTCCTTTTTTATGGTATGGTGGTTACGAGTTGCGCTGTGATCCGAAAGATTGCCAGTTTGAAACCACCAACTGGGCTAAGGGAAAGACAGGCTTTCTGCTCTTGTGAAGAATTAGTCTCGAAAACTCACAGGAGACTATACCCTGTATAGTCCCTGAGTCGACGTTAACTCGATGGCAGTGAGTTTGTTTGCTTGTTTTGGCTTTGTTCACTGATATTTCTTGGGGAAACTATTAAAGTGTAGCCTATTTGGAAATAGTTCTTAAGAAAAATTGATTTGTGTTTATAGAAGGAAGCTTTTTTAATAGGTATAGTAGGCAGTTATGTGTTGAGAGGGATTGCTTTTCTTCAACTTCTGTCATTTACATTTAGGTAGACGTTCAGGAATGATCTGTATTTAGATATTTCTACCTATAAGGCAATTACCAAAAACATTTTATTGTTGTAATCTTTACTAGGACCCTTAACTCTTTAGTTTCCTGTAGGCAGGACCTAGCATAGTTAAGTGCTCATCTTCCAGCTGTAGGGTTGGCGCTGGTCACCCACCTACCCAGTGACTCCTGGATATCGGGCCTAGAGAGCTGCTCTTACACAGCGCAGAAAAACCCGAGGAGCAGTTTTACTATACATACATGAATACCACTAACAACAACAGCCGATGCAGCCTGGCTGTAGATTTGAGTCTGCTTTTGTTTTGTTAGCTAGTGGGTACTGGTGTGAGTATTGATCTAAAAGGAAGTTGAGTCAGGCACTCTTTAGATAAATGGAAAGCCCATAATCAGTAAATGTTGAGTAAATCAAGTAGGGCAAAACTATATGTCCTTGTTGACTGAAGCTTACCTAGTGAATTAATATTTCAACTATTCTTTGGTTAGAAGTCCCATTTTCTTAGTTTATAATATTTTTTAATTTAATGTTTGTAGCTTTTGGTCTCCTTTGGAATGCGTAAGTAAATCTAACAAGTATGTTGTGTTTCCTCAAGTTACTCATGGGCCCTCCCCGTGGGTTGACAGTATGACTTCTCCATGGGGTTCTCTGGGCTGTAATCCAAATAGAAGCTGCTCTCCAGGTCTTTTCTTCCTCCATGCCTGCTGAGTGGGCTTGAGCCAAACATGCACAAACCATTTGTTCTACCCAGGGACCGCAAGAAGAAAAATCAGTATTATTTTGGACGAGTTACATTAAGCCTAGATAGGGTCCCACCCTACAACCCCCTCACAATTTGCATACTTGGTAAATTATTTTAGTCAGAAGAGATGTTTGGAGAAAGGTATATTGCTTTGTATTGCAGGATATCTGTTTAAATTCATTCATTAAAAATAAAAATTCTGTTGCACTGATAAAAGGAGCACAGAACGAGGCTGATCTGAATCCTAATAGGACATGTATTACAGAAAAGGCTGGCTTTTCTAAGCATGTGAGTGGGCTCATTTGTTAACCCTAGTAGCACTTCTGTTTAGCAGAGTCTTAGCATCATGTTAGGAAGCCCTTGTGGCGTAGTGGGTAACATTTTGGGTTACCCAGAACATCAGCAGTTTGAAAACCACCAGCCACTCCTCAGGAGACATGAGGCTTTCTACTATCAAAAATCCACATGGAAGCTCTTCTCTTTTACAGGACCATCATGAGTCAGAACAGACTCCACTCATGGCAGTGATTTTGATTTTGACAGATTTAATCTCCTTTTGATTTTGAAACAGGTTAACTAACCAAAAAACTTAAGACTTCAGATATGTAGACTAGTGCATAGAATTCTCTTAATGCTTGTTTACAAATAAATAAACTAAATTGGAATGACTGAGCCACCTTAATTTCAAGAAAAAGCGCACTTTGTAAAGGGAGGATTGGGCGGGGGGGTGGGGGGTGGGGGGTGTTTACAGAACCAGACAGAATCGTTACTTTGTCTCAAAATGGAGTCTGTTATATGACCCAGTTGCATCACAGTCACTTCACTGCCACTGAATCAATTCTGATTCGCAGCAACCCTATACAGGATAGGGTGGAACTGTCCCCATGGGTTTCTGTGACTGAAACTTCATGGGAGCAGAATGCCTATCTTTCTCCCAATAAGGGGCTGGTGGTTTCAAACTGCTGGCGTTTCGGTTAGCAGCCCAACGTGTAATCCCACTACACCATGCCACCGTGTAATCCCACTACACCATGCCACCGGGGCTCCTTCATAATCTCTTAGGTACTTTGTAAAAGTATAGCCACCCCCTACCAAAAAGAGCTATTACCAGAATTTTTAAGTTAGGCAGAGAATCTTCCTTTTAAATAAATATCACGTGATATTTATGTATATGAAAGTTTGCATAGCCACAAAAACCTCAAAAGTTTTTATGATTAAAGTGAAGGGGGACGCTCTCTTCCTGGCTGCAGAGTGGTGTTTGCTCCTCCTCGCGCCCCCGCTGTTAACAAGATGTCTTCAGGAACTGCAAAAATTGGGCACCCTGCCCCCAACTTCAAAGCTACAGCAGTTATGCCTGATGGTCAGTTCAAAGATATCAGCCTGACTGACTACAAAGGAAAATACATAGTGTTCTTTTTTTACCCTCTTGACTTCACCTTCGTGTGCCGTACGGAGATCATTGCTTTCAGTGACAGGGCAGAAGAATTTAAGAAACTCAACTGCCAAGTGATTGGTGCTTCTGTGGATTCTCACTTCTGCCATCTCGCTTGGATCAACACACCCAAGAAAGAAGGAGGCCTAGGGCCTATGAACATTCCTTTGGTATCAGACTCCAAGCGCACCATTGCTCAGGACTATGGGGTCTTAAAGGTGGATGAAGGCATCTCGTTTAGGGGCCTCTTCATCATTGGTGATAAAGGAATCCTTAGGCAGATCACTGTAAATGACCTCCCTGTTGGCCGCTCTGTGGATGAGACCCTGAGACTGGTTCAGGCCTTCCAGTTCGCGGATGAACATGGAGCAGTGTGTCCAGCTGGTTGGAAGCCTGGCAGTGACACTATCAAGCCTGATGTCCAGAAGAGCAGAGAGTATTTCGCCAAGCAGAAGTGAGCACTGGAACATTTCAGTGCTAGGCTGCAATGAGTAGCCTTGAGAAAAACAAACAAAACCTCTTTTGTATTCTTCATGTTTCAAACATAAGGCCTTAGACTCTACTGAGAACATGGTATTTGATATGGTAGGCTTTTTTTGTAGGGGCTGGGGAGGGGCCGTCTTTCTACACCGCAGTGAAAATGACCCTGAGCTGTTTTGGGCAGGGCAGCTGATGTGTATCATGTACTAGTAGCAGGGCATAAGCCCATTGATCTATTGTAGTTGTATTAAACTTGAACTCAGAAAGAAAAAAAAAATAAAGTGAAGGGGGTGGGCAGAGAATACAGACTGCAAATAGGCTTTTGATGTTATCTAAACTGCTTATTCCCCCTGGTATAATAATGTTTCCTAGTGGGAAATGCTCATTAGAGAGCCACAGTTGAGATGTATCTCTGCTCTTTTATTGGTCATGCTGAAGAATTTATCAGTTTAAATCCTTTAACCTATAATCACACTCCTATACTTTTTATGTTTATTGCTTGGATTAAGCTTTCATTGATTCCACACACCCCTCCCTTTTTAGTTTAATTTCAGTATATTATGTGCCATCGAGTTGATTCTGACAAAATAATCCTATAGGATTGGGTAAAGCAGCCCCATAGGATTTCCCAGGCTGTAATCTTTCCAAAACCACAGCTGCTGGTATGAAAGATAAGGCTTTCTACTCCATAAAGAGTTACAGTCTGGTAAACTCACAGGACAGTTCTACCTTGCCCCTATAGGGTTGCTGTGAGTCGGCATCAACTTGATGGCAGTGAGCTGAGTGGGTGAAACGAGTGAGTCAGCGAACAAGTACCACATCAGTTTTTGGTTTGTTTGGTTTTTGCAGTGTCTGGTGAGTTTGAACTATAGACCTTTCAGGTACAGCCAAGTGCTTACTGTGACACCACAGCTCCTTAATTTCATTATAACCCAGAGTGTTGATTTTAGTTACTGTCAGTTCCAACTCAGTATGATCCCATGCACAACTGATAAAAATGCTGCCATCTCCATGGAGGAGGGAGTCAGTGGAGGGGTCTGAGGGCCCGGCTTTAGAGGACAGCACTGAAGCTGCAGCTCGGGGAGAGGGGCATGCCTGATCAGAGCAAAGGGGAGCAAATGAAGGGGGGAAGAAAAGAGAGTGGAGTGCATCCTGGCCCACCAAGCCTGAAGGACGATATCCCCGCTCAGAACAGCCAGTGCACAGAGGAACCATATGGCTGGCCCAACTACGAGACACAACGTCTCTCGCTGACCCATGGCCGTACAGGGGACAACACTGGAGAGTGTCAGGATTGGCCTGGTCTGACCCCACCACACAGAGAGAGCACTAAGGGCATGCGGCAGAGCAGAGGTCCCGAGGGAGTGCCAAGGATAGGCTTTGGGGCCAGGGCGTGGCACCCCATAGGACTCTGCTGGAGGACACTCCTAGAGGTCAACAAACAGACTTTAAACTATTTACAGATTTATTTATTTATTTATTGTCATTGGTGTTTTTAGTTGTCGTTTCCTTTTGTCGCTTTGTTTTGCTATGTCTTGTTTTTGTGTGCATATTAATATCTCTGTAATATCTAGATAAGTTAGGCTTGATGAACAGTCTGGAGGAGAAAATAGCGGGACAGATGATTCTGGGGGACATGGGAGAGGAGGAGGGGGAGATGGGGGAAAGGAGGTTGTGTTGACCAACCCAGGGACACGGGAACAACAAGTGATCCAAAATCAATGGCAAGGAGAGTGTGAAAGGCCTGGTAGGGAGTGATCAAGGGCAGTGTGACAGAGAAATTACTGAAACCCAAATGAAGGCTGAGCATGATAGTGGGACAAGAGGGAAGTAAAAGGAAATAGAGGTCTAAATACAGGCATGTACGTATGTAGATATATTTATAATATGATGATGGGGAAATAGATATGTGCATTTATTTATAGATTTAGTATTAAGGTAGCAGATGGACATTGAACCTCCACTCAAGTACTCCCTCAATGCAAGAACACTTTATTCTATTAAATTGACATTTCATGATGTTCACCTTCCCTGCATGATCGCTGAAGACAAATGTGTGCATAAGCAAATATGGTGAAGAAAGCTGATGGTGACCGGCTATCAAAAGATACAGCATCTGGGGTCTTAAAGGCTTGATGGTAAACGAGCAGCCATCTAGCTCAAAAGCAACAAAGCCCACATGGAAGAAGCACACCAGCCTGTGTGATCACCAGGTGACGAAGGGATCAAGCATCAAAGAACAAAAAATCATATTACTGTAAATGAGGAGGAGTGCAGATTGGGGACCCAAAGCCCATCTATAGGCAACTGGACATCCCCTTACAGAAGGGTCGTGGGAAGGAGAGGAGCCAGTCAGGGTGCAGTGTAGCAACGATGAAACATACAACTTTCCCCCAGTTCTTAAATGCTTCCTCCACCCCACTATCATGATCCCAATTCTATCTTACAAATCCGGCTAGACCAGAGGATGTACACTGGTACAGTTAGGAACCGGAAACACAGGGAATCCAGGACAGATGATCCCTTCAGGACCAGTGGTGAGAGTGGCGATACTTGGAGGAGGGAAGGTGGGGTAGAAAGGGGGAATGGATTATAAGGATCTACATATAACCTCCTCCCTGGGGGATGGACAACAGAAAAGTGGGTGAAGTGAGACATCATACAGTGTACGATATGACAAAATAATGATAATTTATAAATTATCAAGGGTTCCTGAGAGTGGGGAGGGTGGGGAAAATGAGCTGGTACCAAGGGCTTAAGTAGAAAGCAAATGTTTTGAGAATAATGAGAGCATTAAAGGTACAAATGTGCTTGACATAAAATGTCTGTATGTATGGTTTGTGATAAGAGTTGTACGAGTCCTCAGTAAAATGATTTTTTTTTAATGCTGCCATCCCCTTGATTAGTTGCAGATTACACTGTGGTGGTCTATGTGGTCACTACTAGATTGTCAGACCTTTTTTATTCGCCTGTATTGTAGTGGTTCTCAACTTTCCTAATGCCACGATCCTTTCATACAGTTCCTCATGTTGTGACCCCCAACCATAAAATTATTTTTGTTGCTACTTCGTAACTGTAATTTTGCTTTTAGGAATCATAATGTAAATATCTGATATGCAGGATGTGTTTTCATTGTTACAAATTGAACATAATTAAAGCAGTGATCACAAAAACTATGTAATTGTATATTTTGAAATATTTATTTTTAATGACAAATAAGTGCAATTTTGTCTATGGGTAACAGTCTTCATATCAGGTACTCGAATGTTGGCGTATCTGCATGTGGGGCGGACGCATAGAGGAGCGGTGTCTTGGTTCCTAAGACCATCGGAAATGTTTTCTTAGGTGACCCTTGTGAAAGGGTCATTTGACCTGCACAGGGGGTGCGACCCACAAGTTGAGAACCACTGCTGTATTGTCTGGAAGCACCATTAAACTTGGTCAGCATCGTAGCAACACAGAAACCTCTGCTGACAAATGGGTGGTAGCTGTACCTGAGATGCATTGGCTGGAATCAAGTCCTAATCATCTATAGGGGGGCAAGAACTACCCCTAAACCACCAGTCCCTTAATTAAAACCCAGCATAACCAAAACCTCAGTTGCCCTGCATTGATTCGCGCTCATGCAGCTTCATGTTTGTCAGAATAGTACTGCGCTCTGCAAGGTTTTCAATGGTTGATTTTAAGGAAGGTAGTTTGTCAGGTCTTTCTTTATTCTGAAGTACCTATGGGTGGACTCAACCACTAACCTTTTCTTGACCACCTATCTTACATGGATTATTGTAATATCCTAATCTCTCTCCTGGTCTTTGCTTCAAAACAGATGTCACTTATGCACAAAACCTTGCAATGGCTTCCCATCTCAGAATAAAAACCACAGGGCCCTTATATGCTCTGCCTTTCCTATTTCCTGATTGTTTCTATACTGATCTCTAAATTAGCACAATTACTCTGTAAGGCCACACTGTCTTAGAGGATTAAGGATAAGATTGATTAAAAATATCTACTAGTTTAGGGTCTGATTAATTTTTTGGAGGTGCTACTTTATCTTCCCTCCAAGTTTTACTTATTTTTATGAAATCAAAAGGAAGTTAAAATTTTAGGCTAAATTGTTTTATCAGCTCCAATACCATAGGGAATTGCATATTAATATAAAATTGACTATGTATTTGATAGCCACTAGAAATGTCACGTGTTTTTCTGTTCAACTTTACAACAGCCATTTTAGTTGCTCTGTAACCATCTAACTTGGAGTCAGTCTGTTCTATAAGGTAAGGGCTGCCTAGTTGCAATTTTAAGGAAGGGCAAAGCCGAACTCTGGTGAGGTTTCCTGTGTTTTCAGTTCATTTGAAATATACTGCATAAAACAAAGTACACCTCTCTGTCCTTCCTTCTAAGACTTATATTTGGTTGGTATTCACTAAAATTTCTATTCAGGATTTTCCACTATGAGGATATGCTATATTTTCTTCATGGGAGTATATTGAATTGCTGTTGCTTATTCTGTTTTATTTTGGGGTTTTTTGAGCCCTGGTGGCGCTTTAGGGTAGGCAAATTTACTGCTAGCCACAAGGTCAGGTGTTTGAACCCTCCTAGGAGAAAAGATGAGACTGACTAAAGATTTACAGTCTGAGAAACCCCATATAGGATTGCTATGTGTTAGAATTGACTTGATGGCAGTGGACAAATTCAGTTCAATTAAATGGTTCAAAATGTAGTAGAGGGGTGGTGGTTGGGGAAAGTCTCTGAGATAAAAAGTTTTCATTAACATTATTTGCCTTTTCATTTACATTCTGTCAAGAATGTAATATACAGTGTAGTTTTCCAAAGGCAGATTAACAAATAGTGATAAGTATATAAAAGAGTTTAACTTCAGGGAAATGAAAATAAAAATATCCTCAGACCCACCAAGATGACTATAATAAAAAAGATAAGCTAATACGTTTTGGAAAAGATGTAGGGGCATTGAGAGTTCTCAAGCACTGCTAGTGGGAATAAAATGATATTCTATACTTTTAAACATCATATGACTCAGCCTTTCTATTCCTAGGTATATACCCAAGAGAATTGAAGACGAGAGGGAGGGGCTTAATGAAAAAATAAAATTAAAAGTGGAAATTTTCCTTGAATTATTTGAAGCCACCTTGTGTGTTCACGTCTTCACAAACTTGTACGCGAATGTCCAAAGCAGCCTCATATATGACCACTAAAGTGTAAACTATTGTCCCATTAGTTAATGAATACCTAAATGTGGA